TATGCTAATAAATGAAAAGTCACGAATTCTAGGTGGCAACTCCAGAATCAATTTTAGATTTGAAATTACTTTACTACCCTAACATCGTTGATTAATTACGTTGCTATGCCACTGATATTTTGCCATTAATAATCGAATCATATGTGTGAGTGTATTGGGCTTCGTACATGTAAAATATCAATTTGGAAGTGGACTTCGTACATGTAGATAACAACTCTCAATTATTTACTTAATTTCTGTCGACTATTTTATGGTTTTCGTAGGTGGCCTTTGATAATAGGTAAGTGCTCTAGGTCTTTTGTTATATATATATACCTATGCTCAAAATTGTATRTTCCTGTCAATCATGGTCAATTTATTATTTTAGGGTTTGTTTTCGTTTCTCTCATATAGTATCATCTTTTTTTTTTTCAAATTATTTCATCATGCGTTTTTATACATAAATGATCTTAGATTTCTCTGTTATTAATTATTGTTTTATGTTTTTATACAGCATATCCTCTTCCAAAGTCTCTCATGATATCTGGTATATTTATATAAATATTCATGTAAATATGTTCTTCGTTCTTTTTCGTATTGTGTTGTTAATTCTCAATTTTATCTTCTTTTCCTTATGATATTTATGTAGTTTATCCAAGGAATTATGAGACTATGCGTGTTCTTTGTGCTCATGCTAATGGTATGTTGTTATGATAGTTTTTATGTAATTTATCATTATATTTTATTTGTGATTTTGGATTATTTACTAACGTCTTTTTTTTCTTTCAGGAATTCATATCTGCTTATTCTTCACTTATTATTCTATGGTATGTGTTCGTAATTTGTTAGTATTACGTACGTTTTTATTAATATTTTCGCGTGTTAACGTTTCTTTATACGTTTTTTATATAGCACAACCTCTCCCAGAGGTCTCTCGTGATATCTGGTATGTTTATAAGTATAGATATGTCGTTAGTTTTATATTTATATTAGATTGTTAACTCTCTAATTTTAATCTTTCTTTATTTTGATATTTATGTAGTTTACTGTCCAAGTAATTATGAGACTCCACG